TGATGATGATGATGATGATGATGATGATGACGACGACGACGACGACGACAACGATGCCTGGGTTGGTTTCAGGGAAGACCCAGCAATCGGTTTGAGGCTTGATGGTGATGCACTTCACACCAGGGTAGGCCTCTAGCCCGTGCTTGTCAGTGGGAGATGGATCAGGAAGCTGGCCGGTCTTCTCATAGATCTCTTCGGCCTTCATTTCCTCATGGATCAACAGCGCCGCATCACCACCATCGTCGACGATCAGATCGGGACCACCGCCATGCCCCCAGTCGAGAGCTCTCTCGGTGCACCACCAGTACTCTTGGAGAGTCTCGCCCTTCCTGGCGAAGACGACGGCGGAGTCAGGAGCGATGGCGGCAGCAGCATGGTCCTGGGTGGAGAAAATGTTGCAGGAGCACCAGAGGACCTCAGCACCGAGAGCAGTGAGGGTCTCAATAAGGACAGCAGTCTGGATGGTCATGTGCAGAGAACCAGTGATCTTGGCTCCCTTGAAAGGCTGCGAGGGGCCAAACTCAACACGGTAATCCATGAGTCCAGGCATTTCATCAACCTCGGCCAGCTCGATCTCGCGGCCGCCGAAGTCAGCCTGAGACATATCTTTGACCTTGTACTCACGGCCACCGGCGGTCTTTTCGACAAGCAACGGCATAATTGGAAGACAAGAAAGAAACACTCTGTCTGAGAGAAGCAGTGGGAGGTAGCTTGGACGAGGGAGAAAGGGTAGTAGTATAAATAGGTGAGGGGTGGAGAAATGAACGGTCAGGATTGCTTTAACAAGGGTTTGGTGGATGTGGTAAGCATTTACCACATCCACCAAACCCTTGTTAAAACTAAATAGCACAATAGCATATCTCCTGCGTAGCAGGCAGCTGTGATGAATCCGGGCGCGCGTCTCTGGACCATCTCTGTCAGAGTTCTCAAAACTAAAAAATTTTAAATTTTTATGAAAAATGAGATCACGTGCTCAAAATAATTTTCCTACTATTTTATATTTTCTAACACACACTTGTACTGATATTGAATTATTGATATTGTCTCCATCTCCAACTTAAACTGTATTAATAGATTAGCATTTATTTGGTTTTGGGAAATAAGAGGATGAGAGATCATTTATTCATTTCATTTAATTAAATTAAAAAATTGGTGGTTGGCCTAATATTTTTAATTAATTATTGTCTTGTTTCCTGTAAAGCGAATGACAGGGGAAATACATCCCTAAGAAGTGTGATTTTAATGATGTGACGTTGAGATTAATTTTTGGAGAATTAGTTAAGTTTTACTAAGAGTTTTTAGTTTAGTCAAAGATGTAGCCAGCATTTTTCTTCATTAATTCGGTATGCTTAAGTTAGAATATCTTTTAAAAATTAAAACTGCATAAAAATTAAGTCTGAAAACAACATAATTATTCAAATAAAAAAAATCTTACCAAATATAAAACAATGCAATAATGGACACAAACTTTTATATATATCTTTTACGAGTAAACGTGAAGGTAAAAATACAAATTTTATTATTTTTTTATTTTAAAATATAAAATTTATCAATTGTAAAATAAGGCAATAAATTTTAGATTTTTTTATTTAAAAATGTCAATTTTATATTTTTAATTTAAAAATTAATTAAATAATTAAAAAAACTATTCACATCATTATCTAATTAATTCTTAAATAGAAAAATACAAATTTCACATTTTTAAATTAAAAAAATTTCTATTTAAAATTAATTAAATAGTTAAAAATATTTATTATAACAGTATCACCATATAATTGATTTTTAAATAAAAAATATAAATTACCATCTTTAAATAAAAAAATAAAAATTTATTATTTTATTTAAAAATCAATAAAATTTACATTTTTAAATTAAAAAAATAGTAAAATTACTATTCCTTATCTGCCCCTTTTTCCAATTTCAGCTTGTAAGATTTTATCTCGAGAGCCTGATCCTTGTGAAGCTTCTTTATGACTTCTAATGCTTTTGTATATCTGTGTAATGCAAGGACTAAAAAATGCACCAAGACAATAGACATAGAACTGCACAGGCCATGGATGAAAGGCATCTAGATAACATCAATTGCTTCATTCGGTTCTGTAAAGTTCACTTAAAAGGGGCAACAAACAAAAACCCTCTTTACAACTTTGTACCCACATTCACATTTAGGTCTTTTTCCTTCTCTATCAACCTCTTTTTTCTCATGTTTTCTATTAGCAAGGGGCTATAATGTGTAGTTTAGGTCATTTTAGACCATGGATGAAAGCAAGTGTATGTTTTCAGTAAAAAGTTGAAGAAAAGTGTAATTATGAGG